TTTTTCTTCTTCGTCGTCATCGTCGTCGTCGTTGTCTTCTTCTTCTTCCTCTTCGGCGGTTCTTTTTCTTCTTCGCGACTAACACCCTTTCGTCACCGCTTCTTCTTCTTCTTTTTCTTCTTCTTCTCGTCCTCCTGTCATAGCTGCCACGTCGCATCGTTCAGCGATCTAAGATATATATATATATATATAGATATATATATATATATATATATATATATATATAGAGAGAGAGAGAGAGAGAGAGAGAGAGAGATGGCAGACGATAGTGGTGTGGGCGGTACACGGACGATGACTCCTCCGCCGTCCACGTCATCGACACTGTCGGTTGGCGAGGGGGGGCCATCTACGGCTCCGCCTGTCGTCTCTTCTCCTCTCCCTCCACCACCTTCTACGGTGGTGGGCGTGGAAGAAGAACAAGGGGGGGGGTGGGACACCCTTCCTCATAACCACAACGACCTCAATGGCGGTTGGGCGGGGGTCGATCCTACGCACGGCCCGTACGGGTGGGCGGCCATAGCAGCGACATACTCCCACGTGGATGGGTGGAGCAATTCCCCTCCCCCCAATGGGTGTCTTTACTCGCCGCCAACGACCGATGACGAAGGAGGAGGGGGTGGCCATGGCGATGGCGGCGATGGGAATTAGTTCACGTTGTTTAGTGTCTCGTGTCTTAGCGGAAGGGATACGAGTTGGGGTTTAGAAAACAGCAAAACCAAACGAAAAAATAAATAAATAATTGTGGCTATAGCCGCTAACTTAGTCGGCAGGGAATCTCACTCGATTCCCTCCTGCGTGTGCGCAGTTCTAGCAGGCCGTTTCGTTGGTTATGGTATATTATACTCTTTGTAAGTCTCCGTTCTATCTTTTTTTCTTCATTCTTTTTCTTTGTCGTGAACCATTGTTGGGGTATTTCGTTATAGAGAGGTAATATGTGGTTCTGTTTTGTCAAGTACGGTTGTGGCACAGTAACTGGTATTTTCGGTAGTGTTTGTCTGCACCCAGTTCATTTTGTCTCGAAGTTCGGTCCACGTGGTGGTGTTTTCATGTGAGTTGTTCAGTGTAGGCGACGGTTGTTTCATTCCGAACTTGTCATCCGGGATTATATCTTTTCACATCCGGGTTGTCAGGTTCCGATTGTTTGCCGTATTGATGTGAGGCGGTGGTTTCAGGTCGGAATCGCCATGTAGGATTGTCTTTATTATTTTTTTTTTCTTAGGATAATGTGAGGAAAAGTTGTTGATTGATATCCTGGTTCGACACTGTCCCCTCGATTGGCTTGTGATGTAGGCAGGCGGTGCTTGCGTGTGGGACTTGTCATGTGCCATTTGTAATTTTTATTATTATTTTTTTCTGAGTTTATGCAGTTTCGACAATTTCGTCTCGTTGTTCCGTCTGTTTGGGTGAGCGTAGCGGTGCTATTCTGTGGGGCAAATCAACAATTTTTTTTGGTTGTTAGGCCTGTGACTGCATGAACGCTTCACGAATACAAAGACAAACATCTTGAAGAAGAACAAGGTCGTCTGTTGTATATATCATGTATTCGGGATGTCATTTTTTGCACGCAAGACTGTTCTCGTGCCCGAATTTCATTTTTGATATTACGATTATTTTAATTTAGTTATCCGCACTGCTTTCGTTGTCGAAAAAATATATATAAGAAAAAAAAAACGATAAATCATGAAAACATAACTACGTTACGGTGAAAAATAATGTGAAGCCCCGGTGACAGACTTTTTTACCGTGTTTCAAAAATATACAAAGGAAATACAAAAGGTTAGTCTTTTGTTTTTATTTTTAATTTTCGTCATCATTCCCTCCAATGTTTAATTTTTTTTTTCGTCATACAATACAAGTCTTTGTATATATATATATATTAGTTCGTTGTTTGTTCTTTTTTTTTTTTTTTGTCATTTTTTGCCTTTTAAGTCCGATCCGAAGTGTGCGAGTCCCACATGCAAACAAACATATCCCACATGGAAGCTCCCATGTCTTTTTCTGCATGATATAGTTTTGTTTGTGTGATTTTTCGTATTTGTTTTGTTTTGGTTTTGTCCCGTTGTTGAGTCTATTTCGGCGATCGTAGCGGTGCTTTCATGTGGGACTAGTCATCCGTTTTTTTTTTTATAATCTTTTTGGCATCCTGGTTGGTTGTTTTTTGTTGTTCGACCTATTGAAGGAGCTGGGCGGTGCTTTTATGTGAGAATCGTCATTTGGGATTGTCTTTTATGTTTTTTTGTCCCAGTACGAAATGTTTAGAAATGAGAATGCCAACATCTTCATGAGGAATAAGACCATGTGCTATATATGGATATGTGATATGAAATTTTTCTTTTCTTGCAGACAAAAGTTTTGTCCTGGGTGGTCTTGTCTCGTCATTTGGCCTGTGAAGGAGGGGCAGAACATGCATGTGGGACGTATCATTTATGATCTGTTTTTGATGCTTTGTTTGTTGTCCCCTGTTTTTTTGTATTTGGTTGTTCTCTTCTGCTTTTATTTGCCTTTTTGCCTTTTGGTTGTGTGCAAGTGGGTCGATATGACACATGAGGGTGAGGGGGGCCGCCGCTCAACCTACATTCACGTGGGCGAACTTGTACGCAAAAAGTTCTGAACAGGGGGGGTTGTAAGAAAGAAGAGAACAAACGAATTATTTTGTTTTTTTTTTCTACTGTCTTTTTCGCCTTTGTGCTTTTATATTCATTTGATGATATATATATATATATTATCTTCCTTTTTTCCTTGCCTCTTTGTTTTTTGGTTGTGTGCAAGTTGGACGATATGACACACGGGGGCGAGGGATGCCACCGCTGAACCTACATCCACGTAGGTGGCCGTGTACACAAGAGTTTTTAAACAGGGAGAGTTGTAAGGAAGAAGATAAAAATATGAAATTAATTTTTACGCTTTTTTCTTCACTTTTGCGCCCATGTTATATATATATATATATATATATATATATATATATATATATATAAGTGGACCCGCTGCAGCTACGCTACGGCAGCCGAGGGCAAGCGAAGGTGGAGGCGGGGGGGAGGGCGGTCCGTGCTGTCATCCGCTCGTCACCCTCTCTCTTTTTGTCTCTCCTCTATTTCGCTCGACCTCCTTTCTCTCTGCCTCTCGTCGATTCTGTATGCTTCTCTCTCTCTCTCTCTCTCTCTCTCTCCCCCCCTCCTTTCCCGCCTAGGAACGACGAAACCACAATGATGATAAGGTGACGACAATGATGTTTACGACCACGAAGACGACATGGCGATGATGATGATGACGATGATGATGATGACAACAACGATGATGATGATGATGATGATGATGATGATGATGGCGACGACGATGATGATGGTGATGATGATGATGAGCATGATGAGCATCATGATGATGGCGATGATGGATGGATGGATGGATGGATGAACGATAATGATGATGATGATGATGATGATGATGATAATGATGATGATAATGATGATGATGATGATAATTATGATGATGATGATGATGATGATGATGATGATGATGATGATAGATGATAGATGAAGGATGGCAATGATGAGGATGACGACGATGAAGGATGGTAATGATGAAGATGAAGATGATGATGATGATGATGATTACGATCAAAATGGAATCTAGAGTTGCTTGAGCATGACAACCGTTGAAGCATAACGATGGATACATATGCGCTCTCCACAGACAATCGTCTCCGGTGGGTATGATATCGGCCGATGTGTTTATATGCATTGTGAAAATATTCGAACATTCGAATCGTTAAAAAGGGAAAAAAAAAAAAAAATAGCATGGTGTTTACGACGTTGTGATAGCGGGGATGGCACATGCACGAGACATGTGGGAGAGAGAGAGAGAGGCTCCTCTTTCTCCCGCTCCTTCTCCCACTCCTCCTGCTCCTCCCACAGTTTCTCCCCTCCTCCTTCTCTTGCTCCTCCTCCCGCTGCTTCTCCTGCTCCTCCTCCCAGTGCTTCTCCTGCTCTTCCCCCCTTCCTGCTCCCGCTCGTTCCCCCGCTCCTTCCGCTCCTCCTCCCGCACCTTCTCCCGCTTCTCCAGCTCCTCCTGTACCTCCTTCCACTCCTACTCCTGTCCTTCCGCAACGTGACAAAGATTCTCCTACGAAAAGAAAAGAAGAAAGGGCCGCCACGTGGCTAGCCACAGAGAGAGAGAGAGAGAGAGAGAGAGAGAGAGAGAGAGAGAGAGAGAGAGAGAGAGAGAGAGAGAGAGAGAGAGAGAGAGA